GAAGATCAGGGGTCAGTGTGGGAAGATCAGGGGTCAGTGTGGGAAGAACAGCACAGCTCGTGGGCAGCATCCCACGGGCAGAGCTCTCCTTTCAGTGCAGGATTGCACCTCGAGCATCAAGTCCCACCTCCTCTCCAGATTAAACTTTTACACCAGCTAGCACTAAATGCACTGAGGAGCAGCAGAGCCACAGACTGGGCTGGAAATACAGAGCAAAACGAGAGGAGCGGCCTCATTTTGGGGAATGGCCAATTTCCACAGCTCTGCTTCGGGTGGAGCCGGGGGTGTCTGGGACTGCTTGTGAAAGCTGTGGCCATGGGCCCAGTCCTGCTTTGGGCCGTAACTCGGAATTCCTGGTGATTCCTTCCCGCCTTTTCCCTCCTGGAGAGCGTTACCAGGGCCCGTAGAAGCCCCCGCGGAAGGTGCTGGAGCGCCGGGAGGGCCGGTTGTAGCCACCGCCCAGCCCGGGGTAGCCAAAGGCCCCCAGTCCCAGGGAGCCCCCGGAGTTGATGGGAACCCCCCCGGCGCTCAGGGCGCTGCCCACGGCGGCCGAGGCCGAGGAGCCCACGGTGGTGTTCTGGGGGAAGGAGCTCAGGATGGGCCCGGGCAGGGTCACCACCACGGGCGAGGGCTGGATGAGCACGGTGGAGTCCTGGCACTGCCTCACGCAGGGCTCGCTGCAGCTGTTGGCCAGCGGGGTGGGGCCGCAGGAGCCGGGGGGACATCGCTCGTAGCAGGACATGGCTGGGGGTGCAGGACCTGAAACACGGGGCAGAGAGGGGGGTTATTGTGCTCCCACCAGTGATCAGAACAGGGGCTGTCCAGGGATCCCTCCAGGAACGGAGCTGAGCAGGAAACCAAACCCTTCTTCCAGAGGCTGAACCACCCCCCGGCTCTCGGTGGTGCAGAGGCAGAACCAGCAGTGGGGCAGAAGCAAAGGTGCCCGGGTGGTCACTTCAATTTTAGCAGCTTTGTCTCTTTGGAGAGACACCACCGGGACCCAGCCCAGTGAACTCAGAGCATGGCAGGAGCAATAATGAGGAGAAACACCTGCCCACAAATGCACCTGTGGGTACAGTTCAATAGGCAGCTGGAAGATGAAATGAGGAATTATTCTCAAGGCTCCAACTCTGCCTACACAGAGGTACAAATTCCAGTGTAATTAAGCATCCGTGAAGAGGAGGCCTTTTGAAAGCTTTCCCAGACACTTTTCCACAGATGTTCTACCTAAGAGAAAGCCAGGAATTCCCCGGATGCTCCCTGTGCCTGATTCCATCACACCAAAAAAATCAAAGCCCACTGATTCCTACACCCATCCCAACCTGGTCTCCCTCGTCTTTGCTCTTCTTTTCCTTTATCTTCACGTTATGATCCCATTTCTCTACATTTTAGGAGATGTCATTGCACTCTGTAACATAACTTCAACATTTGGCAACCCAGCTGACATTTCAAACATTGCAGAGGATGGATAATACCCTTAAAGATATAAAATTCTACTGGAAATTGAACTGGATCTTCTGTTTCCAGAGAACAGTTGGAGTTAAAAGGGATTTTTAAAGATCACATAGTTCCAACCCCTTGCAGAGTTATTCTCCCCATTCAGTTTGTTAATCTTTATTATTGGTAGTATTTTCTAAGTCACTCAACATGTCTGAAATCCCACATTTGAATAAATTTATATCACCAGTTCAAGGATCCCCATGGCCAAGTCAGGACTCCAGAAATTCTGCAATTCTAACAGCAAACCCCAACTTGTTAAACAGAAAAACTCCTCCCCCAGCAAATTCAGCAACAGGCAGAAAACTGTGGGGGAAAAAAAGGTTGTTAACAGGCAAGAACCCAGCAAATAGAGAAAGAAAAGAAGATTTGAACTAACCTTGTTCACAAAAGAGGAAAGAGGGGAGAGAAGTGGCAGGAAGGAGTTGAGTGGAGCTGGTTTTTATAGTGAAGCTCAGACGGCCTGGGGAGCACAGACACCCTTTGTACATGAAATTAGTTCCCAACGAGTATGTCCCGCATGCAAAACGCTTCCAACTGATTAAATGCCTTTTCCTCAGTGCTTATTACCTTGTTTTCATTTCCTTATCTTCTGCCAGACATTTGCAGTCTTACAGGTTTCTCTCATCTCTGGAATTAGGGCCTGAATTTATCCCAGTGCCACCTTTCAGGCACAACAAAGTTTGTATCCAGCCTGTGTTTCGCTTTAGTCATAAAGGAAAACACTAAGAATGTGTATAATACATAATTCATCCTTCCAGGGTGTTCTTTTATTAAGAAAAGGAGTCTAAATCCTTAATAAATTCCTGTCTCCAGCAGTGTTTACAAAGCTCTGCCTCCAGCCAAGTGTGAGAACAATCCAGACTGAATTCCGTGTTTTGGGAGGGCCCTGCTAAAACAGCACATCCCCACCTGAGATCCCACAGGACCCAGGGAGAAAGAACCAGAGCTTGGTGTGGGATTTAGGGACAATTGTGTCACCCCAAAGCTTCTCTTCTCCAGGCTGACCAACCCCAATTTTCCCAGCCTTTCCTCCCAGCAGAGCTGCTCCAGCCCTCGGATCAGCACAGGGGCTCCTGTTTCCTGTGGTGCCTCGGTTTAAACCCAAACTCATCAGAGATCGCTGCAATATTTTACAGAAACACTCCTGAACTGTCTCCTGGCCACGTCCCCACTCCAGGCTGGCTCAAAGAACTCACCCAAGAGACTTGGAAACCTCCCCTGAGTGGGTTTTTTTTAGGATGTGAACACGACAACTGGTTTGAAGTGGGTCAGACTGGGAATGGCACAGAGACTTTCAGTGAATGCCTTAATGGGATCTGAGATCCCCAGACAGCCACCAGCTAAAAAATTGCTGAGGAGCTGAAAAAACAACATCTTTATTAGACTGTGCTTGGAGTCATTTCATGCTGACACTAATAGAGTCAGTGCAAAAGTACCAGAAATTAAAACTACCCGTAAATTGGGAAGATGAAAGAATTTTTAATGGGTAGATTCTGCTTCTCATGCAATGACAGGCTGAAGCCAGACTGGAAAACAAAACAAGGCAATTTCTGCTTCAAGAAAAGGTTCCACCTGCAAAAAAAAATATATGTATGTGGGAACTAATTAATGCACAAAAAAAGCCTCAATAGTCTCATAAATTCAGAGTTATTGCACCATTTCTCCAGTCTGAACATCCAAAGGGGCCATGGATTTCAAATCAATCTTCATTCTCTTCAGGAACTGTGTCTCTAATGATTTCAGGCCTTGCAAATGATGGATAAGACCCCTAAAGGTATAAAATGATACTTGAGATATAAAGAAGCACTTTCATGTAATTAAGTTTTCGTCGTCCTGCACAAACTCTCCCCGAAATCGTGGTGGCTGAGGGTGGTTCCAGGGCAGGGCTCTCCTTTTCAATTTTAAATCCCCAAGGATAAATTCAGGGGCTTGTTTCCCCTTACATGGACATTTTGTTCTCCTGAAACTCATTTCTCTGCTCTTTACTCTCCCTTTGCCTCCTGGAAAGGCACCTTCCTGCCCCCAGAGAGGCCCTTCTTTGATGTCCCTCAGAGTGCAATCAGTGATTCCTCACAGATCTCAGGGAATAACTAATCACTTCAGTCAGACCAGTCCTGTGGGCAGGGCTGGTGCAGGAATTCCATCCAATTAGTTGGAAAATTCCCTCATGAGAACCTATTTCTAAGCCCAGACTCCGCTCAGTCCAGGACCTTCTCATTTACCAACTTTCACACTTTGCTTCTGCTGCCTCAGGCCACGGCCTCAAAGGGGACCCTGTGGAGGGACAGGCACCGAGATTTTCCTTCTGGTGACCATTCCAGGTCCTGAGGGAGCAGCTGGAGCTGTGCCAGGGAGGTTTAGGTGGATCTCAGGAAGAGGTTCTTCCCCAGAGGTGATTGGCACTGAACAGGCTCCCCAGGGATGGTCCCAACCCCAAACCTGCCAGAGCTCCAGGAGCGTTTGGACAACGCTCTGAGGGCCATGGGGGGGATTTTGGGGTGTCTCTGCAGGCCCAGGGGTTGGACTTGGGTGATCCTTGGGGGTCCTTCCAACTCAGGCTTCCCTGATTCTATCCCATCTTGTGTCCCCCTTTTTCCCCAGCTGTGTGGACACTTGGGCTGGTTCCACCTGAACTCCAGGTGTCTTCCCTCGAGTCCCTCAGCTCTTTCCCTCGAGTCCCACAACTATTTATACTCAGCACTAAGTAACTTTAATTTTCAGGTGAATTTTAGTGGGGCCTAAGCCTAAGCTGAAATATCACAATTGTAATTTTACACACAGAGGTGGGAAAAAAAAGTTGGGACAAAAAAAAACAACAAAACCTAGCAAGAGAAATATATTTGGGAACCTGTTTGGTGCTTCTCAAGAGTGTAAAGCCAATTACATTCTTGTTTTCAGCTGGATTGTGGTGATTATTGGATTCACATTTTCCACTCTGTGTAGATTTTCATGTAATGACACATTCTGTCCCAAAGGGATGAAAGGGGAGGAGGAAACCACAATGAAACTTAAATTCAGATGCAACATCAGTTTAATGATAAAAAGTCAAGTAGTTTTCAGCAAAACAAAAGGAATACATACATTTATAAGGGGAAAAGAAACCACTTAAACCATTCCAACTGAGAGACAGCAAGCAAGACTCAGCTTTTCCTTAACTCCTGAATAAAACCCATCCAACTGACCATTGAGAAGCACAGCCAGGTCAGTGTGAAATTCCAACTCACAGACACAAGGAAAGTCATCAAAGGCAGGATTTTAAAGAACAAGGCGAGTTGGCCATGTGTCCAGAAAGCCCCTTCCTTCCCTCCCTGGGCTGGAGGAGGGTGTGAAGGTTCTCAGCCCTCCTGGAAGCGCCGTCCAGCAGCTCCAGCAGCTTTGGGCTCCCTGGG